CTCTCAGGCTATGTCTAGACTACGGAGTATCCTGGAAAAACTCTACAGCGTCCAAGGAACACGTCTGCTTTTCCACAAGGAAGAAGGGCTCTTTCAAAAGAGGAGGTTTTTCCGAAATTTAGCACAGTGTAGACGGGCCAAATTTCAGAAACACCTCTTCTGACAAAATTATCAGAAAAAGGTAACGCAAATTGCCAAAAAAAGCGGCAGTAACAATGGACAGACAAACATATATTTCTAGAATATATAGTAAGAAAACAGCGTAACCCATTTTCAGTTAGACAGTAAAGTTTAAAGAGAAGTAAAAATGTTCTCCATTATATATAAAAAAAATCTTGGGACTTCTCTACTCATAGCTATTTTGGCTGTTCAGAATATTGAAATCTGGACCATTGACTGAAGGCCCCTTTGGGTGATGTGGTGAAAAATGCATACTGCATCATACCTTTATATAACCTACAACTCAAGGGCTGTGTCTACACTGGCATGTATTTCTGGAAATACTTAAAACAGAATAGTTTTCGTTATAAGTATTTCCGGAAAAAGAGCGTCTACATTGGCAGGCTGCTTTTCCGGATTAGCCCTTTTTCCGGAAAAGCATCTATGTCCAATGTAGACGCGCTTTTCCGGAAAAGACTACTGGGCTGTCTACACTGGCCCTTTTCCGGAACAGTGTTCCGGAATAAGGACTTATGCCCGAGCGGGAGCAGCGTAGCTTTTCCAGAATAGCGGCTGATTTTGTACAGTAGAGCGTTGTTGCTTTTCCGGAAATTCAAGGGCCAGTGTAGACAGCTCGCAGCTTATTCCGGAAAAGCGGCTGATTTTCCGCAATAAGTGGCCCAGTGTAGACACAGCCAAGGTGTATAATAGAGAGTAATAGTAAAAAACTGTATATATCACCTAACTGTACAACTATGGGCCATTCCAACTGGAAATTGGTTTTGATATATGTCCAAATGGGCCCATGGCCCTCAATTAGCATCATAAGTAACACAGCCTCATTTCAGTATCTACACCTAAGGATGGCTGTTCTGCTGGTTTAAAAGAAAAGGAAGAGTACGTATGTGGGCGCTGAGAACATTACTAATACACACCTTAGGTCTTGTCTATACTGGCAGTGGCATGTAGGGTGTCATAATCAGGAGTGATGAGCAGCATCCAGTGACTAAGAGGTTAACTAAGGTCTCCTGTAGCTAGCCAGGTATCAGGTTATCAGCCAATAACAATGAATTTCAAACTGGAATATAGGGTTTTTTCTCTCTCCAGTGTTGGAGAGGCAGAGCAGTTTCTTCCAAAACTGAGGGAGATGGGAGACACTTCTCTCTCCAAGAATGGACTTCTTAAAATGTGTAAGTAGGGAAAAGTCTAGATGGTCCGTCAGGATTTGTTGTTTTCCTTGTTTGCGAATTTGGAAATAATGTCTGAGCTGTTAATTGTGGGGTTTTTTTCTTTGTAACTAAGTTTTAGCCCAGGCGTTTTTCCAGAGTATCTGTATCAATTGAAGGCTCTTCCCATCTAGCCACTTTAATATGCTTGCAACTGTAGTTCTGTCTTGATAATAAAGGATTGTTTTCTTTTCTAATTAACCGGTATTGGTTGGTTGTTGTGTCCTTAAGACTCAGTGCCTAGTTACAAAGGCAGAGTCCATTGACTATGAATTCCCTCTGTTTTTCCCAAATCCAAGTAAAATGGAGGTTGGGGTAGGAGGAGAGTTTTACCTTAGGGAGGAGATTTCCTAAGTGATCTCTTCCCTAATATTTTTTCTGGCAATTACTCGGGTGGTAGCAGCGGATTCCTCAAAATCTGGGTATTTTGATTTTGGGGGGAAGTTTTTGTACCAGGGCCTGTACTGGCAAGGTTTTGGAGTACTCTTGTGGGCCCCCAATTCTGCATTAGTCATGCCAGAGTGGGGAACAGCCTTAACATAGGGTACATGTAGCTGCATGCCACAGAGGAAAACAGGCTGCATCCACACTGTTGTGTGCAGTTACAGGCAGCAGTGAAAGGTTCTGGAAGGAGGAGGCAGTGAGAAAAGGCTGTGGGGAGGTGCTGGAGGTCTTTTCCTGCTGCCTTCTCCTGCCCTTGCTGCCTGAGTGTCTCACTGCAACAGGCCAAGACTCCATCATTTCCTTGTTTCTGGAATCTTTCCCCGAGGTGGGAAAGGATTCAGACAATTGGATTCTATGCTGCTATAAGCACCAACTCAGATGTGGAAGCATGGCTTGGGTACGCAGAGAGCCATATAGAGTATATATCCTAGGGTTTTGGCATGTCTTTACTTACTTGCCTAAGTAATTATCTACTCTGTTATTTATGCTCTTAAGGGAGCTGCACAGTGTATGTATATTACACACCACTGAACGTGTAAATCTAGCTTTGAATAACAGAACTTATCACAGGAAAAAGTCAATTAAGGTATGCAAGGCATGAAACTAGCATAAAAGTAAAAAAAATTACAAGATTCTAAACATAAGTCTCTAACTGCTTTGTCTATACTGTCACATTTTGTCACCAAAATCTGTCTTTGAAAGCATCTACACTGCAATTCAACTTTTATCTGGAAAACCACCATTTTGGCAACAAAAAACTTCCACCTCTAAGAGAGACTTTAATCTTTTCCCCTCACTTTATTGCCGATAAAGAGCCAGTATGGACTCCACTGTTTGGTTAGTCGAGAGAGCTTTCTTCTGCCAGTATCCCACAATGCCTACTCTAATGGCTGTACTCAGTGTTTTGTCATTTCTGCTGCCCTGTGGCATATACCCATCCCCTTTCAAAGCTCCGTGAAGGATCTGATAGCTGAGTGAGCTGCTCCGTTTGGGGAACAAACAAAAGCCAAATCATTGGAATGCTTCTGTTCTACTACTGCAGGGGAGTGCTGGAGAGACTGCTGTGCTACTTTGACATTCCTTAGGAGGGAGAGCTCACAAAACTACAAGGGAATACCAAGAAGTACAGGGATCGGCTCTGCCTTCCCACAACACTGCACTGCAGGATGCCTACACACATTGCTTTGCTCTATCTGTCGACAGGAGAGATAGAAATGTGACCATGAAATACTGACAATGGGAAGCAGAAAAATTGGTTTGACCAGTTAAAACTTTTGGCAACTTTTGCATGTTTACAGCACTTTTGACAGACTTCTCAATACAGGCAGTTCCTGGGTTACGTACAAGATAGGGACTGCAGGTTTGTTCTTAAGTTGAATCTGTATGTAAGTCGGAACTGGCATCCAGATTCAGCCGCTGCTGAAACTGACCAGCGAATGGGAAGCAGAAAAATTGGTTTGACCAGTTAAAACTTTTGGCAACTTTTGCATGTTTACAGCACTTTTGACAGACTTCTCAATACAGGCAGTTCCTGGGTTACGTACAAGATAGGGACTGCAGGTTTGTTCTTAAGTTGAATCTGTATGTAAGTCGGAACTGGCATCCAGATTCAGCCGCTGCTGAAACTGACCAGCGGCTGACTACAGGAAGCCCGAGGCAGAGTTGCTCTGCTCCGGGCTTCCTGGAATCAGCCGCTGATCAGTTTCAGCAGCAGCTGACTTGGGGATGCCTATGGTTCTTAAGTTGAATCTGTATGTACGCCAGGTCCAGATTCAGCCTGTTGAAACTGATCAGCGGCTGGTTTCCCGGACGC